ATGATGATGATGATGATGATGATGATGATGATGATGATGATGATGATTGGGCCGTTGGGTGGTTGGGTGACTGACCCTTGACAGGCCGTTTGACAAGGTCAAGGCCGAGGCTGTCAAAACAAGAAGCATCAATATAAGGAGTAGTGTTTTCTTGCGAATTCCAAACAATCACACCAGATCGAACTCTAGCAGAAGACACTACAAAATCTAACTACAAAATCTAACGTCTCTTTAAAGGATAGAGAGGTTCTCCTGAGCCTTCTATCCCATCAGCTATATCTGGCAGGTCTCGAATTGGACAGGTTGATGGCAGGCGGATCGATCTGGGCCTGAAAAAACAACGGCTTCGCCACCATATGTGATGGCTTCACACCCTTCATGAACTCAATTCGTGTTGACTTCACATTTTCTCGAATTTTAAAAACACATATTGTAGCATATTGTAGCAGTCATCTTGAAGTACAAGGAGAAGCAGCCAAACACCAGCACCGACATGAAGCAACATGATGAGTGCGTGGTTGATAGTCCCAACCCACAACCCACCATTCCAACCAGCAGGTCCTTCAAATCCAACAGCTTCATGTTGAGTCTTCTTAAGGCTCCAACTCTGGAAAGCAACGGTATGCGCTAAAAATGAGCGTCCACATGAACTCTACGAAAGCTTTGAGGATGTTTGTCTGAAAGGTTTGAAGATCGGTAACGATGTCCATCAACCAGGTCCCAGGTGTCTCTCGGTCTCCCCTTCTGGCGGAGAGTTCCGATCCGCCAGGGCGCTTTTTGGGTCGTTCTGGTGGCATGACTCGGACGTGAAACACATGGCATGTGTGTATGGCAACAGGCCATACTGCGTCATAGGCCGTGAATTATGTAACATGGACTAAGACCACACAGGCGCAACATGACAGTGAGTAGGTGCGTGGGTGCAAACTCTTGAATAGCAATGTGCGAAGTGAGAGAACAAAAACAGGTATTTAGGTGTTATGAACTGGCGGACGGAATGAGGATGCTGGAATAGAACATTGGAATTGCTGGACAAGCTAGCTTGAGTACATGTCACAGGAAAAACACTGAGCCCAAGACAGGCAAGTCTAGCTGCTAGCTGACCACTCCGCAGCTTTCACCACACCTCTCACCCCACCTTCCTCGCCCCTCGCCTGATGTCTCTCCACCGCCTCCTGCCGCTCAAGCTTCGCACGATTTGTCACTGGCGGCCGGCCGCATGACACGCCCAGCACCAGCGTGAGAGCGAAGACCGACCAAGCCATGGGAGCAGCCGGGGCGCCGGCTTTAAAGGGAAAAAATCAAACACGGTGAGAAATGGGAGCTGATATGAGCTGATATCCTGCTGGAAAATGGTGCAATGCCAAAAGAAAAGACACCTCAGTTTGTTCCGTGTAGTCTCAGTGTTTTCTTTCAAGATCTCATTGCTTTCCTGTGGTGCTGGAAGACTCCTTTAGACTAAACGATTAAATCTGCTTTGTTCAGCGATCAATTTCGCGAGAGTATGGCGGCCTGGAACTGGAATGAAAGGGGCTTGTTGGGGAACAAGGTTGACACTACCGAGGTTGTGGAAGAGCTCCACTATTTGCTTGATTGATTGCTTTATGTTTTATGTCTATGTTTTCTTTCATTTTGTATATTAATATCTATTGTTCGAGGCAGCTAAGCAAGAGCCACAAAACATGTCACAAGACATTAATTTATAATATACATATTATTGTTACGGCGGCAAATTCGATGCTGTAAAGAGCTGCAGTGGCATTCAGCTGCGACGTTCCCCAGGTCAACCAGGCACTTCTTCCACTCTGTAGCTGATCGATCGTTCGCATTCAATCTCTGCGAACAACAAGTTTCGGTCCATGCTTGAAAAAGAACATGGCTCTATACCATGCTGATCCATGCTATATACCCTCAGGTTGAAAACATGGAAACTGTTTATGCAACCGGAGTGGAAGGCACGCAAAGGAAACAACTTCAGGGGGGCTCCGGCTCCGGCATGTCAAAACATGAACCTGGACACATGAGAAGGACCTCATACTGACTTTTCCCTGTAGCTATATGGGTGTATACACAAGGCATGGGTACTCAACCTTAAGCCAACCCTTCTGAACTGAGCTGAAGCTGACCAATTGCAATCTGTCTCTTGATGTGTAATGCCTTGCCAGAATGCCTCTCATGAACCCTTGCAGCAAAAAAAAACAAACCACTCGCCTTAACATATCAAATTACTACATGTCACTCAAATCAACCACACAAACTAAAATATACAATATGTATTAGTTAATTACTGAACATGTTACTGAAATTAAACAAAATCAATATAGTTACTCAACATGTTCAAACAAATCAAACCCCCAATTTTCAACACACCAACAACTCACCTCCTCCAGGCTCTGGGGGCTCTCTGCCTGGCTTCTGGGAGATACCATCTGCGATCAGCCACCTGACAGGGTTTGCCCAGCACGCGAACCGCGCTGTTCCAGCGCGCTGTCCCCGCGCGGCAACTGTCGATAACTCTCGATGTACGTTGACTGGACTGAATCCAACGAGGTTGAAAGAACACGTGCGAAGTGTGCGACTCTTCATTCAAAAAGAAACACAGGTGGCAATATAACCCAGACACTCCATGTATGCCATATATGCCTACATTGACCCCCCCAAACCACCCTAATGTAGGCATATATGGCATACATGGAGTGTCTGGGTAATGATAATAATATGTTGATATAGGGGATGTGGACCGGACGTGGAGAGTCTACTCTTTAGAGAATCACCCATGTGTTGGTGAGTTATCTTTTAAGATGTGTTCGACACCGTTCTCAGCAGCAGCACACACGGATGCTCAAATCAGTGACCCTTCCGGCGAGTTTGGCCATCCAGCGGCAACAAGCTAAAGATGGGCTATTTGAGTGCGGAGCCTCAGGTTCTCTCCTCTCCTCTAGTCCGGACTTTCTCCCCTGAAAGGAGTTTCTCCCACCCATTGTGAGATGAACTTGATAACACGGCCGTCGGACTCACGGGTTCTTCCGTCTCGTCTCGTCTCGTCTCGGTCTGCCTCGTGAGCGCGGCCCGTTCCGCGTCGCTGAGCTTGTCGAAGGCATTGCACACCGCATCGCCACCTGCTTCGCTCAGCAGCGCGGTTCGCGCGGGAACCTCGCCGCCCCGAACCTGCCGGAGTGAAGAGTGGAGTGGCGCGTTGGTTTCGATTGGGGACATGGTGGCGAAGTCGGAGCCACGGAGGAATGGCTGTGGGTGAAAGTTGGGCAACGGGTGTGAGCCCTGAAAAAGGGATGAGCATTGGTCCAGCATGTCTCCCAGGATCTCCATTATACCTCGGAGTTGGGTGAATTGGAAGTCGGGGTGCCAGATTTTCCCCTCTTAGTGACTCCTGGTCTACTAGGGATGTTCACCGCCTCACAAGCTGGAAGCATTCTATGAGAGCCCAGCTGGGTCGGGTGTGGGGCATGGCGTCGGTCCATGGATCCGATCCGGCAGAAGTCCAATGAGAGAATTGAGGAACCGAACCTCACAAGGCGTCTGGCCGCGCTGTTCGCCTTCGCCTTTAGACAAGGCGTCTCGGTGACGTAATACGTGAGTCATTTTTTGTCATGAGAAAGTTCATCTGTTGATTCATCCGGATATATCCGGATTATGGTCTCTTGAACGAACCAGAACGAGTTGTGTAAATGCAGTGAGTCCTGCCCTTTGTAGGGGATCATTGGGAACTCAGCAACAACATGTACAGTAAGTCCCAAATAGTCTTGGGCACCACAAGGAGGTCATCAACAGCAACTCAGAATGGCCTGGATGAGTTTCCAGCCAACCCACTGAACTTCTGTGTGTTTCAAGAAACTCTGTCCAGCCCAGTCACTAGTGATCACTAGTGATCACTAGTGGCACGACGGCACGGAGTCACCCAACGCGCTTGATGGCGCTTGATGGCGCTACCGACTGGACTGTCCAGATGCTTCGAGGGTCGCCGACTGTTCCTGCTCGGGCCCTGGCTCTCAATATCATAAGCTGTGCTCAAGCACAAGAGCCGCACCAAGGCCTGCTGCTCAGGCATGCTCAGGCGGGTCCGAAGCTCTTAGTTGACCAGGTGAGCCCCTCAACGAGTTTTCAGGAGATGAACAAGTCAATTGGAGACGATGGATCTCTACATGTCGAGGGACCATGGCACCAACCCCGTTCGCCCGAGCCGTGCACCGCATGGTTGGGCACCTTTCAGGCATGGTCAACCGCTCGGTCTGGTGCCATGATCCACAGCGAAATGTACCACGTGGTTGAATTGAAGAGTCGTCATACACCTGGAACCTTCAGACTCCTTGGTAGAGGACCCAAACAGCATTCGGAGGCATCTGCGTGGTTCTGTTCTGTTCAAACAGCGATGTACTGGTTACTGCCTAGATGAGGACCACTTCCATATATATATATTATATATATATATATATATATACTAGAGATCAATGAACGACGGACCTTGAAGCGTCATCCCATCGCACGGACCAGGAAATGCTCAGCATGCCCACGGAAGGGGTGGTCCGTTCGCGTGATCTAACCGGAATCTAACCGTTTTTCGTTGCGCGTTTGGTGTCCCCACCTGATGTTGCCAGGATGCAAAGCGAGACAAGGCCTTGGAGCCTCTCAGCAGGAGGAAAGCCTGGCGCCATGGGAAGAGCGTCCGAGACGAGGAGTTTGGGGAAGATGTTGGAAAAGCGGCCGTGCAAGGTCAGCTGAGATTGAAGCGATACAATGACTTGGTAGGTGGATTGATTGTCCTTTTGATTGTTGTAACACAAAGAAACACCAGGCAACATGGAATATGTCCAGTATATATATACATACAACTCTAAAGCTGGATATAAAGCATGTTGTCTACAAATGTCTACTGGTACGGGATTATCTTGTTTATTTTCCCCCCAAAAAAAAGAAATCAACGCCTGGTGTGGTTAATGCACGTGCCAGCCACCCACACCCCAAAACACAAAGCCGATGGCACGTTGTAGGCCGGGCCCGCGTTCATGTTCCTGCTCCGCGTTCGCATGGCCGGTGGTGTCAGGGGTCAGTGTAAATATTCCATACATTCAGTGTATGGAATAGAGAAGTCGGTGAGAGGCATAGTTCCGCTAAAAGTCTTTCACAAGTTATCAACCAGCTCCTAATTCTAACACCAAACAATCACCCCGTGCAGTGCAAGTCTATATCGCATCTACCCACTAAGCTCACAAGAATATCAAATCCTACGATGCATATCTGTCCAAGCTGAAGCTTATTAACCTATCACTTTGCCTTTATCACTCTCATGCAAAGCTCATACAAGAACACGTGAAAGTGGAAAATAACGAATTACTCAGTGCAATGTGTCCATTGATCATGCCAGTGTATACCAAATTTAAAGGGAAAACATCTTCATCCTTCGTCTATCGCCAGAAAAGACCAGCATCTGAAGCGATCTTGGATGATCTGACAAGCGTCCAAGCGTCCAAATAGGACTCTCTTTCAACAAGAGTTGCTGGCTCGCACTGGCTTTCCGCATCACCATGAGCCAGGCTCTCACCCCAATCTTCCCATGAACCGTCCGGATCTGGGCGCTCTGTCGAAAAGTGCCCCGTTGGGCGACGCCGCGTCTCCTGAGTTGCATGAGCGCCTCAAGACCTGAGCGTTTTGGAGCAACGAATGGAGGAATCGCTGAGGAAACCAGCGCATGGGTTTTCCGTGGAGGAATCAATTTAGTCGACTTTTGTTAAATGGAGAAACAATCCAGGTGTATGACAAGTCTTCAATTCAGGTGTTGTGGGGATGGAGAGTTCGAAACAACACCTGTCTGTTTGTCTTCTGGGCTACATGGATATACATGGTGGTTGATCCATATTCTTTCAGGTTTCAAGAACATCTGATCAAGTTTTTTTTTTTTTTATGTAAAAGCTCCCTTATAAACACAGGGTTTAAAGGATCAATTCCCCATCATATGGCTGTGGTTCATGGCGCCGAGGATCCACCGAGGGACCGGTGCCGGCAGCCAGTCCGAACGAAGAGTCCGAAGCGTTGGTGGTGTTTGTTTCTTTGGGGTTTGACCGCAAGGTTGCTTGGAAAGGGATGGAGTTGTTTGATGTATGATTGATGTTGTTTCGCATGGAACAAAAACAACGTTTGTGACTCCTCAAACCGTTCGGAAATGAGGGAAGGTGTTCTAAACGAAACATACGTCTAGTTGAGCGAATCGATTCAGAGAATAGCCACATCCATACTCCGTTCCAGCTGAAGT